CCCCCCCCCCGCAAATAGACATGTCACACCCTAGGACACAGACGTTCATTTAGCTCATAGACCTATACCCTCAGGTCTCTCAAGCAGCTGAGAGTTCACACCCTGGACACAACCCTAAATGATTCTGAAACTTCATACTCTGGACACAGACTCTAAAAGAGCTCACAGACACCCTGGAAAACAGACCAAACATCCCAGACGCCTCACTCCCTAAAACAGTGCCACAAACAAATCAGAAACGCAAAACTTGGACACAGCCCTCGAGAGGTTAGAGATCTCACAGCCTGAAAACAGACCCCATGCAGAGAACTCAAACCATGGGAAACAGATCTATACACAGTTCAGAGACCTGACAGACTCCTAAAAAGTTCAGAGTAGTGACACCTTAGGAAAAGACTATCAAACACTTCAGAGACCTCGTGCTTTGTAACCCACACATGCAAAGAGCTCAAGGACCTGAAAATCTGATTACAGACCCCGACATTGCTGACAGACTTTTCACTGAACAGATCCCCAAACAGCTCAAAGGCTTCACAACCGGGGATAAAGACCCACCAATTTCTCAGAGAACTCCCAAACTGGGACAAAGATGGATAAACAGTTCACAGACCTCACACCATCTTCTCAGACCACCAGACAGCTCAGGGACCTCACACCCTGAAACAATACTAGAGAGCTCAGAAATCACACCTACTGGGACACACCCTATTCAGAGACCTCACATCCTGGAAACAGATTCCTGTCGAGACATCATATATTGGACATAGATATCCCCCAAACAGCTCAGCGACATCACACATGGAGACAGAGACCCAAACAGTTCAGAGGCCCCACACCCTTGTTCACAGACTCCAGGAGAGCTCAGAGACCTGGATATCTGGACAAAACCCTCTACATAGCTTAGAAACTTCCCTGTGTTACAGATCCCAAATGACTCTGAAATCACACATCCTGGACACAGATCCCAAACAGCTGAGACGCCTCATCCTGGGCGCAAATCCCCAAACAGCTCAGAATCTTCACACTAACTAAACATGATGTTGTTAGGTGCTGTCGAGTTGGTTTCGACTCATAGCGACACAGCCTGTCTCTGTCGCTAGTGACTCATATGTCTGACAGAACGAAACACTGCCCGGTCCTTCACTATCCTCATTGTCTTAGTCATCTAGTGCTGCCATAACAGAAATACCACAAGTGGATGGTTTTAACAAAGAGAAGTTTATTTCCTCACAGTCAAAGTAGGCTAAAAGTCCAAATTCAGGGTGTCAGCTCCAGGGGAAGGCTTTCTCTCTCTGTCGGCCTTCTCATCAGTGTTCCCCTGGACTA